AAATCTGATAATCATATAAATCATTTCATAGATCTCATTAAAGTGTACTGTTTAACTTTTAAAAATATTTTTCAGCATGAATATTTAGTGAAGTATAAGGAAAAACAATTTATGACTGTGCACTGTGTTGTCTGTAGTGCGATTAATTTTGTAACAACAGATTTGTACCTGTAATAGATGAAATGGAATTTGTAAATTTGTAAAGAATAAATTTTGGAAATATGTGTATACACCTTTCTACTTTTGTTTCCTTGAGGAATGAAAACAAAAGACAAATCTGTTACAAATTAACATACTTCTGGTGAACTAGAAACAAGATTCAGTGACACTGTGAAAAGTGTCACAAATGCTCCTCATAGGATATTGTTTATGTATCCAGAATGGCGGAAGGCATTTTCAGTGTTTCATTTTAACATTTTCAATATTAATTTGTACATCATTCACATTTCTTTCGTAACTTGTAAAACTCACTCCATAGCATACCTGTCATGCAGACGAGAGTCGTTGCAATAAGTGTCCCACTTGGTCTTTATGGCGGTCTCGCCGCGCAGCTGTCGCCCCTCAGCTCTCAGATTGATTGAATCTGACTGTCGGGTGTCTGCAGTCTGACACATCTCCCTAGTTCTTGCGTACCATTCTGGTAGAGCGACATGCTTTGTTGGCTTCCCAAAGGTTACCATAGACATGTCCGCTTGATTTCTGCCTCACACCTACCAGTTTAAAACACAGCACCTTTAAACTTTAATCTGATGATATTTGGGTAAATATATGATAAATCTGGACGTGGAGGAGGATGTGAGGATGATGGGAGTGAGGGGATGGAGAAGAATTGTGAATGATAGGACAGAATGGAAAAAACTCGTCGAACAAGTTAAGACCCACATAGGGTTATAATGCTACAAGAAGAAGAAGAAGATATGATTGATAAATCTGACACTAGGTAAGGAAGCAGGTTTTATCAGAGTACAGACCCAGGATTCTTATGATTTAATCATTTCAGTGAACACAAATTTATGAGCTCAAAGTACAAAACATTCAGTGGCATCTTTAATATGGTAAGTGGGAATTATTTATTTTATATTCTTCTTCTTCTTCTTCTTCTTCTTCTTCTTCTATGGCTCTGTGGTCTGTATTCGGTCCATGGCCCCCTCAGTTCTCCTCTTCCATTCGGTCCTCTGTTAGGTCCATTATGTCCGAGGCTTTGATTGAGGTTTAGAAACATCTTCCTTTTTACGGTGCAAGGTTGTTAGCCTTGCGACCAACCCCCAACCTGGAGGACCAGGGTACCTCTCTCCCTCGACCAATCTGGCTAGGGAGGCCCTACCAGTAGCTATGCTACTGCCAGCATCCAATTTGTGTATAATACTTTATTCGTCTGATTTTGTAATGGCCTTTACTGCATCAGTCATACCACAATCGATGTAACTGAACAGATATAGAAGCACCCCACATATTCTAATGACGTGATATGGAACAAGGCAGAGTAAAAGTTTGTTTTTATGCAAACACGGTTACTTACATACCTTTTTTTGTAGAAGCAGTCTGTTATTTATGTTGCTAAGGATAACTTGTTATGCATTTCCATGGTAACACTGAAACATTAATACTTTGTGTGTTTCCATGATGTAGCTCTATGACTACTAGGTTATCCATGATTAAAATTCAATGTTAGATTCCAATGAGTTAATTGAAATCTGCTACAAATTTTACCGGGTTATAAAATGATAAAAAAACAAAAACGAAAGCACATGAACAATGTTTGTGAAAGTGAGGAATATATATACCAAATAATAAGACACCGAAGGAAAAGTAACTGCAGTTCCTTATAGATCCGTGGATTGTCTTTCATGATGAAATAAAAACAATAGATGTAACTTAGTAACAAGTAATTGGGATTTTACTGAAGAACTAAAAGTAAAATATGTTTGTCCCACTATACGCCATGTAGGCGTTTGGGGGGAGTGGAGGTATAGCTCCTCTCTTCCTTGACCTCGGCACTAGATGGGGGTGAGTGGTCAGCATCACGCCCCGGCCGGCTTTACCCCCGGGAAAGGACCCCGGTACCCATTCTAGAGGAGGCTGGGTGGGCCCCAGAGCCGGTCTGGACGCAGAGGCTAGAGGAAAAATCCTCTGCCCCCGTCGGGGATCGAACCCCGGTCGTCCAGCCCGTAGCTAGTCACTATACTGACTGAGCTATCCCGGCTCATATTGAAGAACTAAAACCAACCTAAAATAATAATAAAAAAACTACGACTGAAAATGATGAAATTAACAGCAAATTGGTTAACTATGCATCTGAAAAGTCTGAACGGATAAACTTTAAATAAATGTTGTATGAGATTAATAATTAAAAAAAGTGGATAGTTGTAACTGCAATACCAATTTGTAACAAACACTTATAACGAATCCGTCTTTAATGCCTGTGATATTATTGTCTGTAGTCCAGTAAGGTGGTGTCTGGGCAAGCGAACAGTTGCAGTCCCCAAACAGGGTCCCTGAAAACGGGTGATATTTTTCTTGCAGACTGCGGACACAAAGCTTGTCATTACGTAATTACGCACCTGATGACCTTGGCCTGATAATGTCCTTTCCTGTCTGCGGTAAATTATAGTTGCCCTACGAACTGGGAGGAATAATGTATTAGCAAAAAGTTGTTTTACTTAAAATGCCATTCTTTATCATGGCGCCTGTCTGATGCCGCGAAAGCTAAATGATTCCCAAACAGTGGTCCGCGGAAACAAGAGGTTCTCATTATTAGAAGGCATGACTAAGTAAATGAAATATATGCGCTATGTGTTTGAATATATGTATTTACTACAAACATAACTTAATAACTAAAACAAATGCATGTCATCCAGAAATTTCGTACGATATATTTTGGCTATAGTCAGTCTTCTTGGACGCATAATGAAAACATTTCACTTTGTGATAAATTCCATTTGTTGTTAGTGTCTCAGTCTAATTGCGTAGTTTACATTACAGGAACTACGTATCAGTGAATGAGAAACCTCAGAGACGCGCTTTTATCTAAGACCGACAAAACAATGAAAAAGGAATTGAAGAAGTTTAGCACAAAAGCCTGTGGAGACTAAACGGTAATTTCTTTAAGGAATTCAGCCATGGTATGTGGTTTAATCGTTGTCATGCTGTATTCTATGGGCGATGTAAAATTTGTTACAAATTCAGTAGCGGCGTAGCCAATCCGTGAAGCCCTGGGCGACATTAATTATCGAGACCCCTTTAAGGAAAAAGTGTAAGGTATTTTAGGGGATTTAAATTATTGTAAAAGTAACGATTTGAAAATTGCTTCTGTAGAGCTGACTCAATCGATTCATTCAGGTCTTTCTTTTTTAGCTGTATTGCATTAACAACAAATTTCAATACTGATAATGTAACTGAATAGTACATTATCAGGTTCCCGTCAACAATAGCATTGAATGCAAGGTATTAACATAAACTGTCAGTTCCTGAGAATGCTAACCGCACGTCCATCACAGAAAGAGTGGGTTAAGCGACTACCTCGTCGCAAGGAACTCAGTCAAATTAAAATTCCATAAATAAAGAGTTCGTTCTTTCTTCACTGATGCTAAATCCCGACACGAGCCTTGGCCTACCCCAATCCTCTAGGTATTAATAAGTCCTATTTAGACAGGTGGAAGGGTTCGCTGGATCGCTAGATTAGAAGACGGATGTCAATCGTAAGGCCTAATTTCGTAAATACTTGCTCATATTACTAAATAAGGAGGTGCTCATATCACAACGAATATCGTTCGATAAGACTGATTTCCGGTAGTAACACTGTTTAAAGAAGAATGCGCTCACGATAGGCGTTATATACATTGTTCGCATCATTCCGTAATTACGGATTGTTTGTCTATTAAATAATATGAAATAAAATAGGGTAAGAATGTCTGAGAACAGGATGCTAGGGAGAATATTTAGACCAAACAGGAACGGAGTAACAGGGAATTTGAAAAAAAAAACTGCACAATGATGAGTTCTATAATATCCTTTACCAGACATTAGTCTGTAAAGAAAATGACTTTTAATCGTCGGAATAATCGGAGAAAAGACTGGCAACAGTTCCGCGAAGAAACTGGAAGAATGAGAAACAAATTTATTGTATCAGCTAAAAAAGAACTTCATTTTGCCTCAAAAGCATAACACCTTGAAAAATGGCATACGCTATATTTCAATGTTGGCCTCAGAATCACCCAGTAACATAAATTATCTTCGATCTGAATGGTCAGCCGTCGAAGAAGAAATTAATGTAAGCACGTACTGCTCCTTCAAAGAAACCGGCTGACTGGACTGGCAAAGCCAACAGCAAAACACATAAGGGTCATGTACAAAAAGCCTTGCCAACTTACCAATGTTAAAGTCCAAATAAATCTCAATATGCTCAGTGTTACCTCTCAGAATTCCGATTTTCTCCCCCCACCCGGGATCGCATATCTCGTTAAAGTTAAGTCTACAGACATCAATTAACAATTTGCTGTGTCGATTTCACTGTACAGAAGATTGCGTTCGCTTAGTACCGGATTTTTTATAAATTACGTCGGATGTCGGTAAACTTACCAGAAAAATGAAAAATATCACCATGTAATACGAAATTTTAGGTTTCCACGGCAATGAGGATGATGATGGCGACAGCGCCCCCGTCCTCAGACAGCCAATACAATCATTTCCAAACGCACTGTTAGGATCGAACCCCGGAAGTATTAACAGTGACAAATCCCCAAAAGGACAACACTAAAGAAAACGCTTCGACATTTGGTAACCAAATGACGCAGTGAAGGTGGTTAATGCTCTTGCTTCGTCCCCAGTTCGCATCTGTAACGTTACACGGGTTCTTCGTGATTTCCGTCAATCCTCCCAGGCGAATGCCTGTACAGTATCATAAATACGCCACGACCACTTCCTATCACATCTCTCTCAATCCAATTCCTAGCTCATATTATGCTACGTAACAGCAAGAGTTGATACAACGTTCTAAAAATAACTGAATAACAACTATCGGTAACAGCCCCGTCCTCTCAAGGACAGTTTCTCAACAAATTACAAGAACTGACATTACCTAGAAAAATAAACAGCGCTCACTCCAGAAATCGTATGGAAGCCAATGTTCCATAAAAATACTGGGTTACTGAACTTCAGAAAGTAATTCACACTATTCAACTAACTACATATTTCTGTGAAATTTCCTACGCCTTGACGTGTGAAACTGCAGAACGCAACCGTGTAACTACCGAATGAAGTTCTGTATGATTTATAAGGATCCGGCGGAGAGAGAGAGAACAACAAACAAACAAACAAACAGATAGACAGATAGACAGACAGACAGACAGACAGACAGTCAAGGCGATTCCCAGCTATAGCTTTGTCAATGTTAAAGTACATGCAAATTCATAAGACATTTCTGTCGGTACATGAAATTGACGAACTATTCGCTGGAACAGAGCAGGAAAAGACCTTGAATAAATTATTAGTAAAAAATAGCGTATGTGGTATAGACGAAATGATAACTGATATACTCGCAGGAGCTTTTACTGAAGAGGCTGTATAAGTAAAGTGCATTCTGCTCATTGTGATCACACATAAAGAACATTACTAAGCGATCTGGTATCTAAGTCCTACGTTACCTCTCGAAGCAAAGTGTAATTCTCTTTTTTACCGAACATCGCGG